ATGTTTTTTTTTTTTTTTTTTTCAGCTGAGCCATCCTGCTACCTGTTGGCAGCTCAGCGGCTGCTCAGCTCGGGCTGGACTCGAACCGCTGTTGCTCAGAGCTCAAACTCTTGAGCGAGCTCTTAACTAACTGAGCCACTCGGCCGGCCCTTACTATTTTTGTTTTTAATCATCAAACATATTTTAAAGATTTCGAGAAACTAGTCTAGAATCATAACCAGGTAGTTACTGTTTCTGTTCTTCCTTTATTACTGATGTTCCAAGCACCCTCTGGCATCATTTCCCTTGTGTCTGAAGAACTTCCTTTAGTCATTCAGTTAGAACAGGTCTGCTGGCTATGAATTTTCTTAGCTTTTCTTAACCAATGCGCCTCTCAGCCGGCCCTTTTAGCTTTTCTTTATATGAGGTTATCTTTATTTCACCTTTGTTCCTGAAGGACACTCTCACTAGATACAGAATTGTGTTGGCATTTTTTTTTTTGTCAGCACTTTAGAAATGTTGTTCCACTTCCTCTAACCTCCATATTTCTGATGAAAATCTGTAGTCATTTAAATTGTTCTGTCAGGGCCAGCCGAGTGGCGGGTTGGTTAGGAGTTGGCTTGGGACGCCAGCTCTGAGCAGCAGGGCCCTGGTTCGGATCCCACATGAGGGCCAGTGACGCTGTGCCCTCTACGGCTAAGATGGTGAACAACAGCTTGACCTGGAGCTGGGCTGCTGTGAGTCGCTGGCATAGGCTACAGTGGGACTGGGCGGGCGTGAGCTTTCGTGAGCTTCTGTGAGTGGCTGTCCAATGGCCGGCGACCTATCTGCCTCACCCGGGAAGAGCATAATGATAATACCAAAATGGGCCAGTGAAGCAACGTCCTCCACAACTAGACTGAAGAACAAAAGGACAGCAACTTGTCTGTTCCCCTTCCCTGATTCCCCAATAAAATCTTTAAAAATAATAAATAAATAAATAATTATATAAATAAATAAATATATAGTTCTATCATTGTTTTTCTCTGGCTGCTTTCAAGATTTCTCTTTAGATGTCAGCAGTTTGATAATGATGTGTCTGCACACAGATTTCCTTGGGTTATCCTGTTTAGAGTTCACTGAGCTACTAGAGTCTGTAGGCATATGTCTTTTGTCAAATTTGGGAAAATGTCTTTTTGTGGGTTTTTTTTGGTCTCTTGTTCATATTGGAGAACTCCTATTGATTTTATTGATTTTATTTCAAGCTGTCTCTTTCCTGTGTCATCTCCATTCTGCTATCTCCAATCCTACCCAGTGAATTTTCTATCTCAATTATTGTGTTTTTCAGAAAAGTTCTAAAATTTCCATTCATTCTTCTTTGTACCAGTTTTCTACCCATTTGTTTGTTTTTTGCTTCAGTTTTCTACCCATTTGTTTCAAGAGTGTCACTCTTACTCCCTCCCTGGAAAAAATGTTAAACAGTTGCTTTAAAGTATTTGGTAATCCAACATCTGGGTCATCTCATCATTAGTGTTTGTTGGTTGTCTTTCCCCGTGCAAGTTGAGATTTTCCTGATTCTTCATGAACATTCAGAATATTACATCACAAGGCTCTGGTCTTGTTGATATTTGTTTTAGCAGGCAGTCAACCTGGTTGTGTTCAGAACATAGACTCTTTGAACAACATGAACTGCACAGGTCTACTTTATACATGGATTTTTTTTCTCTTAAGTAAGTATCCTTAGGCTTTTCATCTGCAGATTCAACCAACTGTGGATCAGAATGAGCATATGTGGGAGGGCTGACTTAAGTTATATATACTAAGATTTTTGACTGTAGGGTGAGCTGAGGGAGGTGTCGGCACCCCTAACCTCCGTGTTGTTGATGGGTCAACTGTAGTTAAAAACACAATAGATAAATTACAATGGAATAAAAAATGTTCAAATAATCCAAAAAAAAGACAGGGAAGACAAAACAGAGAAACAAAAAACAGAGGGAACAAAACTCAAATAAAACGGTAGTCCTAAAATTCAAACATATCAGTAAAAAGATAGAGACTGTCAGAATGGGTAAAAAACATGTCCCAGGGCCGGCCGGGTGGCTCAGTTGGTTAAGAGCGTGAGCAAGCTCTGAGCAACAGGGTTGCCGGTTCGATTCCCACATGGGCCAGTGAGCTGCACCCCAGTTGAGCTGCCAACAGGTGGCATGATGGCTCAGGTGGTGAGAGCACATGCTCCTAACAAGGTTGCCAGTTCAACTCCCGTATGGGAAGGTGGGCTATACCCATCTGCAAATAAGATTGAACACGGCAACTTGAGCTGAGCAGCCCTGAGTTGCCTATGGGTGGCCGGATGGCGACTGGGCTTGGAGCTGAGCTAGCTATGCCCTCCACAACTAAGACTGAAGAACAAAAACTTGGCTGTTCCCCTTCCCCAATTCCCCAACACTGTTCCTCTTCCCCAATTCCCCAATCAAATCTTCAAAAAAAAAAAAAAACCAATGAAAAACATGTCCCAAACGTTTGATGTCTACAGGAAACATATTTCAAATATAGGTAGATTAAATTTTAAAGGGCTGGAAGCACTTTCAGAACGGCAGAGTAAAGACCTCTAAAAATCTGCTCCTCAATAAAAGCCTCAAGAACACTGACAATCATCAAAATCAAGTTTTTCAGAACTCTGGAAATATTCCTTGGATTGTTTGAGAAAAATGGCTGAATCTTAGTAAGAACAGCAAGCTCTGTGGTGTTTTAACTTGCCCTATTCCCTACCCTCTCTCCCTAGATCTGAGCTAGCCCCCAAAACCAACAGCCTCATAATCACAGTAGCTGTGAAAACTAGCAGCCTAGCAGCCACTGGAGGAAGTAAACTGTGTGGGGGGATCTCAGAAGTTCCATACACAGAGTTCTGTCCGAATTTGACCTGTCTGGCAGCTCCCTGGAAACTTCCACTTTAAGGCTTGTTTTTATTCAACTTGACTCAGTGCGAAACAGCCTTTTCCCTAGGGTGTTTGTCAAAAACAATCGGTAGCAACTGTTTAATATCACAGAAGCTAATCAAAAGCTTAAGAGGAAAAGCTGGGAATCTAGAAGGCCACATGCATGTGCAAAGCTGTGTACATGTCTAAGAAAGACAAATGATGGCCCTAATCTCACCTCTGGCTGACCTTGAGGCTCTGTGTAAGGAGGAAGCGAAGACTAATGCAAAATTGTACATTGCCTGCCATAATGTTGAAGGCATGCTCCCATACACACACACACACACACACACACACACACACACACAGAACCCCTTGGCAAAAACTGGAAGATTTACTGGTTCAAGGCATTTAAGGAAATCTCTAATCAAGTGGCCACTAAGCTAACCAAACAAAGACTTTGGTGGTCACACTAAAGTCCCTAACACATATAGAACAACAATGACAACAAGCAGCAAAAGCAACAGGCCCTGGAAAGAGGGTCAAATTACCTAGAGACAAGGAGAACTTTCTATTTCCCAATATACTGTGTCTAAGCTACAGTATTTCTTCAGCAGAACATGAGTGACTCCTGTGCCCAAGCCTCCAGCCATTGGACCAAGTACTTCCACATTCCTCTGTGTGAGTGTGTGTTTGGGGGTAGGGCAGGGAAACTGATGAGGTGGTTTATTTAAAGGTTGAGGTTCTAGCAATCACATTTCATTTGGCACTGAAATAATTTCTTCTAGAAAACAGTGGGAAACAGTAAAAAATCATACCATATATAGTGTGTTGCACAGTACATTTCAACTCGTAAGGAAATTGGTCCTGGAAGGGGCCAATCATATTTCAGTATGCCAGTGAAATCAGACTTTATCTTAAAACCAAAAATCACAGTTGTCTAACCAGGAATCATGCCTAGTCAATCACGGAATAGCCACAGATTCAGTAATGTAGTAGAGAGTTGCCAGGTTTTCTATTTTTTATTTTTAGCATCCTTGGTTGTTCTTATCTGGGGCCCATTCTCCCTGATTCTCAGCCCAGGGGCTCCCAGGGGAGTGGCTGGTACCTCTGGCCTTGTGATGGGTTCAGAGGTAGGCAAGGCTGGCAGCACTGTGGGTTGTTGACACATTACTCACCCCTATTTCCTCCTTGTTAACAAAATCTCAATTCTGTCTAGAGTGGCAATGTACCCAGCTCCCAGTAATGGATCACCATAGGTTAAAGACAGTAATGACAATTCTGTTTTCTATTCATCTAGCGGGAATGCAGCAAGAGATGGCAGAGTGACCCAGTGCTGAACAAAAAAATTAAATAAGGCGACATCTGCTGGGAATTTCTGGGAGATGCTTTGCTCTTCAGTTACAAAAATACAGCCCAGACAAGTACCACTTCTTTCCCCTCTTCTTCTTGCTTTGAACATAGGTATTATGCCAGGAGTTTCAGCAGCCACATTACACAGGATAAAGGCCCAGAAAACTGTAGGGGTGCTGGGCCTGACACTACTGAACTGCTGAACATACCAGGCTGCCACCTACCAACAGGTTTCTTGTTATGTGTGAAAAATGAACTCCTCTTTGTTTAACTACTGCTAGTAGAGTTTTCTGTTTCTCATAGCTAAAAGCATTCTTAACTGACTTGCCAAGTGACTCAATCAGAGACAAAGGGGACACAAAAATACTTTTGTTAGGGATATCCCCCCTCACTCTTTCCTCATTCCAAGTATGAGGCAGGGTATAGCCACAGGAATCTGACAACCACAGGGAGGACATAAGCCTGCCTGAGGCCAGGGACCCAGGGGACAGAGGAAAACACTGGATGCCAACAATACTAAACTCCTTTACTCACCATGTCTGAAGGAAGTCCACGTCTGTCCTGGACTTCACGTGAGCCGGTATCTTTTTTCTGTTTGTTCAACACAGTTTGGCTTTCTGACATTTGCAATTAGATGACTCCTAATTAATAGAAACAATCCCTCATTTCTTCATTAGCCAGCCAGCTCCAAACTCTAAATCTCATTCTTGACAGGTCAGCTTCTGTGATTAGCACTGAGAAAGGTCACAACCGAGAACAGTGGGTACCACTCACCTTCTTTTTGTTTCTTCTGTTCAAGTTTCATCTTCTTTGCCAATAATTTCTTCTCTTTTAACTTCTGGCTACAGATGTAATATAAATACATTAATTCCTTGGCTACCTTATTGTATATTTTAGAATAGAGACGTCTACTTATAGGCTCTATAAATACTTTATAATTACACAAATACTACAATACAATGAAAGAAATACTTTATGATTCTGCTATTCCAACATCAACATTATCAAGCTGCTTTCTTCATGAATTAAGATAAAATCTTCGGGAGTCCTGTGGTGATTAAAGCAATCTCAGAAATACTGGAGATGCTTTTCTATTCCAACGTATTTCGGGACTATTTTTAGAATAAAGCTCAGCTCTCAAAAAATTGGGGGTGTGAATGAAAAAGGGGTTCTACAGAAAATAACCTTTACAGGTGATCCAATCATAAATCCACAATCATGTAACTTCTTTAGTAAAAGGTTTATCTTCGCCTTAAGCAAAGCCCTGTCCGCTGTTTCTGTGCATCTAGGTTAACACACCTTTGAAAAGCCTCTTTTCAGAAGTAACCACCCTCAAGAGAGCACCTAACCTGAACTATCCTGTAATCCAATCCCCACCTTGACAAAACCTTCCTTACTTCCCTCCTTAATTTCAAATGCATAAAAGAAGTTGCAAACTGTCATTCTGGACAAAGCATTTAAGATCTCGCTTCCTGGCAATTGCTGTCAGTTTGGATCAAATAAATTCTTATAATAATCCTCTACAGGTTTGGACATTTCTTACGCCAACAAGGGAACATTTATTAAAACACACACACATGCAGCCTGTATACTCATGTAGTCATTTAGGGAGGTCACAGACCCTAATTTAAGGAAGAAGCTAAATGAGAAGTTCGCTCACAGCACCTAGTTAAACCTGATGCTGAAATACAGAAGTGAAAGAGACGCAGAAATCCATGTAATCACCAAAGGCTGACCTCCAAGCTTTGGAGAATTTGTAACAAGCTTTGAGAGGAGCACAATAAGTGACTTGATCTCTCCCCAGGTACAGGAAGAAAAGCCAGGTACTGGATTGTTCGTCAGTGGGTTGTATTGCCCAAGACCTCTATAGGCTATACAGTCGAACTTTTGACTGCAAGTAATATAGGGAAGGAGGATGAGAACTATTTTTATAAAAGTAGAAACTATGAGGTTGGATTCCAAGCCTGCTGCCTGCATGCTCCAAGACACAGAACTCAGGCAGACATTAATCAATCACACAGAACAAACCATCCAAAGGCTATTAAGCAGAGATTTCATTATGCACCCCCCCCCCCGTAGTTAAGCCTACTACAAACAAGCCATAGGTCATGCTTCACAGAAGTTAAAGGTAAACCTGCCCCTATTCTTCTTGCATCTTACAGAAGTTAAAGATAAACTCACAACCGTTTTTCTTTTCTCCATACCAAGAAATTTTCTACAGAAGCAGGAAAACACATATAAACAATCCTAGCCCAGTGGATGAAGGGCTCTCTCTTCTTACTAGCGATTAGAGACTGCCATGCTGTCTGTGGGGTGGCCTTCCTTTTCCTACTTACTCTCTGCTAAATAAACTTACCCTCACTTTAAACTCTGTATCGGTTCATGCTTGATTTCTTTCTTATGTGAAGCCAAGAACCTCCTGACCCGGGGTTTGAGTCCCCACTCCAGGGGAGTTGCTCTGCCGGCATCACCAGAACTCATTCACCACCCATCTGTTTTCTCATTTCCTGCCTGTAAGTCTCATTAGTTATGGGATGCCACAAAGACCTCACCGCTTTTTTCGTCGCTTTGCAGTCTGCTCCTCTGCAGCAATTTTATTCCTTTCCAGTCGCTTCTGAAACTCTACATCCAATTTTTGCTGCCCAAAAAAAAAAAAAAAAAAAAATCATTTAGACACACTCTAGGCTGGGTACCAGAACTCTAGAAGTCACACCAGTGGGGGTGCAATGGGCAAATCTAGGCCCCCCGGGCCACTTTAACGTGGGGCAGGAAATCAATATATGGCTCTCAGATGGCGAAGTAGCTCTTTCATTCAGTTCATTAAGATACCTCCATACAAGAAAATGTAAGAGATGCAAGTATGAGGGAGCGTCCACGGTACTCCTTGAGGGCAGAGGCAGCACTAGCAGCTGTGTTTTCGCCAGGGCCTTCGACAGTGTGATGCTGTGACTTATCATAGAAATACATATTTCATCTTCATCCACTGTTTCTGGCACATAGCTCCTCAACGTTTATAAATTTCCTATATGAGAGCCACAGAAACACCTTTTATTATGTTTAGTTTTGTTTCCAGTTCCTGAAATAGCTCCAGAGATCAAGGTGTAACGAGTGTCTCTTATTATTCATAACAATCCCCTTTCAACCACAAGAGCTTATTTAAGGAGTGACTTTTGGAAAGCCCCAAGGAAGGGTGCTGGTTGCTAGGGGAACTTTAGGCCCCACCTCCTAATCTCCAAGGAGGAAGAAGCGGCTGGAGGTTGAACCAGTCACCAAAGGTCAATGATTGAATCAATACTGCCTACACAACGAAGCCTCCAAAAAACCCAAAAAGATGGGGTTTGGAGAGCTTCCAGGTTGAACTTGTGGAGGTGCTGAGAGAGGGTGTGTAATCTCCTCACCCCTTCTTCCACCTGGCTGTTTCTGAGTTACACCCTTTTATAACACACCAGAAATCTAGTAAATAAGATGTTTTCCTGAGATCTGTAAGCCCATCCAAGCAAATGATTGAACTCAAGGAGGAGGTTGTGGGAAACCTAATTTATAGCCAGCTGGTCAGAAGCACAGATGACAGCCTGGGCTTGTGACTGGCCTTTGAAGGGGGTGAGGGGCAGTCTTGTGGGACTGAGCCCTTAACCTGCAGGATCTGCCACTATTTCCAGATAGACAGTGGCAGAACTAAGTTAAATTGTAGGACACTCAGCTGGTGTCACAGAGTTACCTGGTGTGGGAAAATCCCCATGTTTGATGATCGGAAGTGTAGTGGAGTATTGAGAGTAGAGGAGACACACAGGAGTGTTTTCTCTTTACAGTGACGGGAAGTCATCAGATGGCTTTTGGCTGGAACCAAGGGATTTTTAAGTCCTAACTAGCAACGGTTATCACATGACTGATTCTAAAGCAGTGTAACACATACTGCCATCACTTTCTACTAAACACACATGTATATGTAGTATGCGAACATGCACGCACACTCACCCCTTATATTCTTCCTAGCAGCTCCCCGTTTCTTCATCTATAAAATGGGTGAAAAAATCCCTCTCTCCCAGGGTCCTTAGGAAAAATAATAAAATGAGATAACCCGCAGGAAAGCACCTATAAACTAGAAAGACATCTACAGATATAAAGTGTCATCTTTATTTCTTCTAGTCGTAGACATAAAGGTCAATGGGGCCAAAAAGGAGCCAGCAGAGGAAGGAGCTGGCAACAACTCTGCTGGTCCTCTGTGGTTCTGCTGAGAGTGACAAAGGAACTCTGAGAGCAGAAATTATGAAATAAAAAAGAAGGGTCTCTTTTTAGAGGAAAACTACAAAGCAAATGGCTTAAAGCTAAGCACTCCGTTTGTTTAGAAGCTGAGATGTAAACTCTGTGCTGTTGAAGCAGCTGCATTTACCAAGTGAACTAAACAGAACCCCCACTGGCTGCTGACCCTGGCGATAGCAAGGACTCAAGTCCAACATATGAGGTCACTGTGAAATGTGAGGATTCTCTTGCCCCTCTTTTTTCTTCTAACCTCAGAGCCTGTCTTTCATAATGTGAAATAAAAACTTGTGTGTCTGCATGGCTTCAAAGTTTGTAAAACAGTTTTCTGTATTTTCTCTGGGTCTTTATAATCAATATATAAAAACATCACACTAACTGATGGTAGTTGAGACAATAGCCTGTTCTATTTCTTTCCTCCCCTCTAAGTAGTTTAAAAATAAAAAGGTGCTTCTGGTAGTTTCCATATAGCATTTTGTTTATTTCTGACAGTGACTTGGTATAGCTGTGTGACAAGCCACCTGAAACTTAGCTACCTGAAATTTCCCTCTAGAATTAAGAATGTTACAACCAGGGGATGGCAGGAGCTGGAGAAGAACCAGCATCCAGGGACTGAGAAAGGCTGCAGGACAAGCAAATACCAGACGAAAACCACCATGATAAGGACCCCCAAAATCATATATTTTTCAAACTCAATTTTGGCTATTCCAATAAATTTTTACACATTTTCTTCTGTATCTTGTTTGTCTCTTTGGTTTAATATTTTCCCTAGTGTTTTACACTGAAAAATTTCAAAAAGAAAAGTTGAAAGAATTATACAGTGTGTATGCCCACCACCTAAGATTCTACAATTGACATCTTGCTACTCGCTTTATCACATATCTATCTACCTATCTATGCCTCTATTCATCCATCAAGCTATCTTATGTTTTAGATGCATTTCAAAGTAAGTTGCAGTCTCCAAGACATTTAACTTCTAAAGATTTAAGCACACACATTAACTGAAGTTTAATGTTTGTTTATGGTTTTTCTATTTTTTTTTTTCCATTTAAGGCAGTGGTTCTCAACCTGTGGGTAGCGACCCTTTTGGGGGTCGAACGACCCTTTCACAGGGGTCGCCTAAGACCATCGGAA